GCAGTTCAAGACGTCTGGAGAAGCCTACAGCGCCACCCAACTAGACGGGTCTACAGTCGGCAATGGCCTCCACCTGGTCGCTAAGATTTCCGATCCCACACGCAAACAGGACCGGCATGGTCCGATGTACGAAGGACGCGAGATTCATGTGAGCAATCTGGACTGGAAGGCTAGCGAACAAGAGGTGGAGGAGCTGTTCCTGCGGTTCGGCACCGTCGAACAGGTGCGCATTCCCCGTAAGGTGGACGGAGGCAGCAAAGGTTTCTGTTATATTGTCTTCGCTTCCAAGGTACGTCTGTAAGAACCTTCCTAACGTTGCATTCCCGCTGATTATGTTTTGCAGGAGGAAGCCGAGGCGGCTTTGGTAATGCACGAACAAGAGTATCGGTCTCGGCCTTTGCAAGTGAAGTTGTCCACGCCACAGGGGGCAAAACGGAGTGCCACAACAATTCTGTCTCGCGTGTCAGCCTCGCGATCTCCGTCGGTTGAAGCCAACGGAACTGGAGAGGAGGTTTCCAGCAGTGATCGGGCTGCGCGTACTCTGGGTTTGATGAACGTTCCCGACACGGTCAACGATGCACGGATTCGCGCGCTAGTCGAGCCGTACGGCAAGCTGATCAAGATTATCCTTCGGCCAGACCACCAAGGAGCGATTGTCGAGTTCGCTGATATTCATGCTGCCGGCAAAGCCTCGCTGGAATTGGAAGGACAGGAGATTGCTCCCGGCCGGAGATTGCACGTAGGCAGCGTACCGGAAATGCTGAAGCAGTCGGCAGAGAAGAGAGGCCACTCCAGCACCGCCGGCAGCAAGGCGACTACTGAGAAGTCGGGGGCGAGACTCCAGCCGACTGGACCGATCAAACGGCCACCGCAGCCTGGGGCGCGCGGAGGCAAGCGCGGTCATCTGGGTGTGAAGCGAGCCACCGGTGGGTTGCAGGGGCAGAGCCACGCGCAAAATGGCGCGCCTACGACCAACACCTTGATGACGACGACGATGACGAACAACACAGACAGTTCCGCCCCGGACGACGGACAAAAAATGAAAAAGAGCAATGATGACTTTCGTGCGATGATCCAGCAGAGTCGAGCGGGATGAAAGCGTTCGACGCACTGGATTGCATTGGCGGGTTTGGCGTTACCTCTCTCTCTCTCCGCTTGCTGATGACCTGGGATTTTTCTTTCTCTCTCTTCCATTCTACATTCCCACCTATGATGTGTTTTTCTACCATAACTTGTCACCGACGCGGTGCTGACGCTGTTTTCTTTTTCTCTTTTAATATTCTTGCTGGTTGGCCGTGTATTATCATGGACTTTGCTTCGGTCATGGAATCCCCAGCCTCATGTCGGATGTAAATTATTCTGTATCTTTCTTATGATTCTTCCTTTTTTTTTCTGTCATCTTGATGCCGGGGGTTCTCTCTGTCTTCGGGCCAGAAGGTTATACTTTTTTTCTCCCTCACCGTGAGATAGGCGATGGAATGATGAGCACGAGTCCAGTGGTGGCGATGGACACCCTCCCACGTGATTTGATGGGACAATATTTGTTTCCTTGTAGATTGTAGATTTGTAGATTCATGGAATTGCATAGATTGTCCTTAGGTGAAGGTCGCATCTCTGATTTATAGTCCGGCATACAGCAGGTCAAGGATAGGTAGTTACATAGTTACATAGTTACATGCGTGTCACCGTGCGTGACCCGAACGCAACTGTGTGAATGCGCCGGTCGGAGAAGAACTTGGAACTTGGAAGTTACTGGTTGTGTGTATAAGGTATCGGATTGCTTGATTCGGATCCTTGCAGCTTATCTGCTCCAATTATCCTATGGCGGACTGGATCGATGTCGAATCGGCATTACGGAAAAGACACCAGCCAACGGGGGGCGGGAGATTCAGTCTGGTAAGTTGCATGTATAGCACAGTATACGGAGTTTTTCTTATTGTTTGGATGGAAAGGAGGGGAGGAGGGAAGCAGAGCTGAGCTGAAGCGGGTAGAATTCCAAGGATTTGGGACTACGCTACCGAGTCCGAGTGTGTCTCGTCTCGTAAACAAAGCTCTGTCATCTGAGCTTTCTACTCCCCCTTGCTGCTTGCTGCGCCGAACCCTGGTACAGATTTTCTGGGTTAGTGGGTGGGTGGGTTGGTCGGCGATAAGGGGGGAGAGGAACAGCAAGAAGGAAATTTGAGAAGCTGGTTGCTTGATCTGTACATACTGTGTCCAGTGGACAGGACAGTCCCGCCATTGCAGTTCTGGGGGTGGACGCTTGGACCTCCCCTCCCACCTTGAGGCGGTGGGTGGTGGAATGTTGCAACTATAAGATTTTCCCAAGCTTAGATTGGTTGTTGTTCGAGGAACAGACACACTGCTTTAGAATGCGTTCTGATGGATGATGATGATGATGAAGAAGAAGAAGAAGAAGAAGAAGAAGAAGAAGAAGAAGAAGAAGAATGGTGGATTGATCATCTGGGAGTCAAGTCAAGGTTGGACTGTCCCTGGAGGTCATGATGATCATAAACTGTCCTGTCTGTACTGTACTGTTACTCGTTGCCTGGAGGGGGAAGGGTCATGTCATACACCACTCGGTCTGTTTCCGGACGGCGGATGATGAGGTGAGGTATTTTTTCTGGGCTGGCATGCGGTTTGTTGATTGAGGTGAAGGAGGAGGGGGGTGGAGGATATTCAAATTGTCATCCTCTCTTTTTGACCTTCTGCTTCAGAATAAATTCCGGGTCTTTTTATTGTGTTGTGGAGGGAATTGAGTTGCAGTTCAATTAAGTTGGATTGAATAGAATGGATTGATTGACTTGGGATTTAGATTAAAAGAGAGCCTCACCTGACCGTCCGGCCGTCTGTCTGGCTCTTTCCTGATCAGCTCATCCCATCCCAACTTTCCACCACCTTCTTCCATTTCTTGCAACCAACATAACCCCTCCGTCCTTTTGGCTCTGAATTCTTCTCGCATTCCTCTTCTCCCCCTCTTTCACTTGATTAGCTCTCACTCATCCCTGTGGTTAGTGTCGGGTTGTCTGACTTATTGTTCCTCCATTAACTACTGTGCTGTTTCGCTGCCACTCCCCGTCTTATCGGCTCGTGCTGTGTCGTCATCGTCGTATCATTTCAACCTCATCCAGTAAAACATACCCGACCAGCACCAAGCAGCAAAATCCCTCCGCGTTCGCAATCTCTTCCTTTCGTTAGAACTGCGACAATAACTACACCCCCAGAAATCCCCCCGGCGCCAGGATGGATTTTCATCTAGTGCCTCGCGGGGAAGATCGCAACTATACCGGTTTCCTGACCAAAACAATCGTCTACACCGGTTCCTTAATATTATTCTTAGCATGTACGTTCTCTCCACCACACCCCTTCGGTTCCTTGTTCGCGCACATCGCAGTCCAAAGCTAATACGGTCCACATCTACAGCCTTCGGATTAACCATCTCCTCAATCGCCATCCCGAGATGGGCTAGCTATGATTCGGTACGTTTTGCCACTTTCATTTTCCTCGAGCTTGGACTATAGGGGGTTTCGCTGGGAGGATATCATCTTTTTTTTGTTTTTGGATTGATTTGTCAACCCAAATTCAAGGGAAAAGGACTAACGCGATGACGGTATACAGCCCGCCTTCCACTACTCCTACGGCCTCCACCGCCGCTGCTCCTCCGTCGAGGGCGCCTGCTGGAGCTTCCCGCAGCGCGAGGATTGCCACGGCGAGGACCGGTACTTCTGTTCGATGTGGCGCTCCGTCGGGTTCCTGATGTCGTTCGCCGTGGTGCTGGAGGGCATGAGCCTGGTCGCGTTCCTGATCGTCTTGTCCGGCGGGAAGCGGTTGCGCGAGTCCGGGTGGAAGGTCTTGAGTCTGTTCATTCTGTTGTCTGCGGTGGTGCAGGCGGCGAGTATGGCGATTGTGGTGAGTTCTTGCTCATCTTTCCGGGGAGTGGCTTTCCTAGGCAGGATAGTGCTAACCGTTCCCGATCGACAGGCGTACCTGTTCGACAACGAGGAACGCTTCTTCCCTGGTTGGGTCCTTTCCCAATCCTGGATTTTCTGTACCGTCAGCTGGTGCGTGAGTCTCCTCTGCGCTGCGGCGTTGATCATTGCGGCGTATACGTTGCCGTCGGAGGGTGGATATGAGTTGATTCCGGATCATTCGTGATTTGAGGGTTGGATGCGGGGGGGGGCGAGGGGGGGGGAGCTTGTTGTGGGTCTAATGCGATGCGATGAGATGATACGATACGTTAATGACTTGACTTCCTTCGGTCTTACTTATATGGCGTTGGTGGATGATTGACTATGAACATGTGGGGTTTTTTCTCTCTCTCTATCTCTTGTTCGTTTGCGGTTCTATTGCCTATAGTTTATTTTGTCGGATGCTGCATCTGGTTTATAGGTACCTAGTAGGCATTGGTAGTGATAATGCGGTTAGAGAATATACATGTTAATACTTTAGTCAGGTACAGTATGTAAGGGTTTTGTGTAGGTGTGACTTGAGGTTACTGATATACTGATAGAAACATTGCAGCTTCCGCCGCGATCTCTGTTTGCTGCTATTCGCTAGTTATTGGATGCTAAGTGGCAGATACCCGCGACGCCTTGCTGAGACGTCATGGTTGTGTGTACATCAGAAGCTCACGACATAAGAAGACAAACACAACTCGCGTCATTGAATCCAGACTCATAAGGCAGGGGACTGCTGAATCGAGCTCACATATGATCGCAAACAATTTGACCGATGCATCTGAGAATGAGAACGGTGGGCATGATCTTGAAGGATTCGAGCTGACGACCGGCTCTCTCGATCCGAGCCAGAGGAGAGAAGCACAGATCGACAGGCAGGTGCTGAAGATTGAGAAAGAAGATCATCCCGCCCTGCCGAGTCTCTCTCCACCTCCACCTTCACCTTGACAGCATATCACCCCTCATCCCGGGAAGGAGTCCAAAATGGCACGACAAATCCCAAGAACCAGAACCACCCAAGGCCCATACCTGTATCCAAGAAAAATATCACCTCCAAACCGGCAAGATCTCCACATCCGGAAACTCCCCCGCGGCAACATTCCTGGCCCTCAACTCCAACAACCACTCCCGAATCTCCCCTCCCACCAGCGCCTGCGTCTCCTCAAACGACCACACCTCGCGATCTCTGGAGGTAATCCTCTTGACCAACCACCCCGGCACAACCGGCTTACCCACCGATGGACTTGATCTTAGGGATTGCTGCTGCTGCCGCAACCGCAACTGCACCCGAAACCCCACCATGTCCGGCAGCGTGCGCAGGCGCTGCAGCATCTGCCCCACCCAGAAGCACTGCGTCAGCGCCCAGGTGTCGCGCTCCCGGTACCGCGCCCGCTGGTAGTGCTTCCGGCAGTAGTAGCAGCACCAGAGCGTGGCGGGGATCTGTTTGGTCGAGTGCTTGTTGCGGCCGAAGATGTGCGAGATCAGTTTGCGGTAGTGTTGTGGGTGGCCTGGGGTGGTGGTGGTGGTGCAGGTGCGGGTGTAGGCGCATCTTATGTGGTTTGAGGGGGGGTTGGGGTTGGGGTTGGGGGGTGGTGGTGGTGGAGGAGGTGTATTCGGGGGGGTGGGGAGGGGGTTTGGTGGGTTGGGGTCTGGTTCGTCTTCTGAGGATGAGTCTTCGTAGTCTTCGTCCTCTTCGGCGTTGGTGTCGGTTTCGGTGTCAGTGTCGGTGTCGGTGTCGGCGTCGATGTCTTCTGATGTGGTGGTGGTGCTGGTGGTGCTGGTGGTGGTGGTGCTGGTCACGTTGTTATAAGGGGCTGAGCTGTGATGAGGACCGGAGGGTGCAGCTCCAGCTCCAGCGACTGGCCCAGAGGAGCGCAGTGCGTAGCGGAAGCTGTGCAGTCTACGCAGCATGGCTAGCTCGGGAGGAGACTGAGTCTGAGACTGGTCCTGCGACATGGCGGTCAAGTAAACTCGGCTCTCGAGCTTTGGAGATTTCCTTGCTGCAGATTAGAAGAAGAGAGAAGTTTAGTTGATGGCTTTGATGGAGATGGTGATGCAGAAGATTTAAGAGATGCTTACTTGGTTTAGAGCTGATGAGCCGGTAGCTAAATAAGACCAGCTTAAGAGTTCTTAGGATTGTCTGCTGAAGATTGGGAAAGAGAAGAGCTTTGTTGGTGCTTTTGATGGAGGTAGTCATACAGGAGACTTTAGCAATACTTACTTGCTTTGGAGATGAAGGTAAAGAGCTGATGGATTCAGAATATGTGATGCTGAGGAGGGAGGATGGTAGTAGATGGTGGATGGTAGAAGAAAGAAGAGAAAACCGAAAAGCAAGAGACTAAGGGCCTTTAAATATTTAGATTCTGGTTCTATGACTATTAATAGTGAGTCAACTCGATAAAAAAATAGAACTTATAATATAGTAAGAGTCAGAGGTAGCTGATGGAATACCTATTCACTATATCAAAGCTTTGCCTCGAGCTCTATAGAAGCTTTGAGATGCTATTGGTTGAAGCTGGTTGAATATCATATTAGCCCAGTGATCCTCAGGGCTATTTGCCCCACCTGCCGAGACACTCTCAGCTGATTGGACTAGTTTTACTCCTGCTTGATAAGTGTACTTGTGAATTGTAAACTGTTGTGAAGAATTATATCAGTAGACACATCTATCATCAGTGATAGCCAAGGCCCGGCCGGGCTGAGGTACCATTTCCTAATACAGTTAGTGATTTCTGGGGTATGGGGCAGAGCTCGGTGGAGAGATGACTCAGCAGGCTACTAGCTACTCACCGCTTATCTCTTGCTCTGATAGAACCAAGACTTGCATTCTGCCTGCAGAATTATAGCCTTTGTAGGCGGTCAATGCAGCTTTGTGTTTTGATACTGTCTTTGCAGGTAGAAGAATGCCAGACATAAGCTAAGAGTTTTCAAGTTAATCTAATTACTACATCTTACTCTCTCTCTCAACGGATCCTCCAATTACTAGATTCTTCTCTAGTAACAATACTGAACTTAGTCTTAAGAACAGAAACTATCTATCTTCTCTAATCCACAGCTGCAGCCTGTCAGACTAGATAAGCTGATAAGCACCGTCTATAAAACCCGCCGTATAGCATATTTCCTCCTCCCCCACAATCCCCTCCCCCTCTTTTTCTGTTCCCATCTGCGCCAAACCTCCATCCTACACCACCCTCTTACACCTACCCCCAGCAAAACCCCACCATGACCGCCGAAGGTCTCACCCCGGAGCAACTCGCCTTCTTTCACGAGAACGGCTACCTCGTCCTACCCGACCACCTCACCCCGACCGAGGTCCAACGCTGCCTCACAGAGACCAACCACCTCCTCGACACCTTCCCGCTCGACACCCACCCTCTCACCCAGTTCACCACCGGCGACGATGACGCCCAAAAAGAGCACGTCGGCGACGACTACTTCCTCACCTCGGGCGACAAGATCCGGTTCTTCTTCGAGCCGGACGCCTTCCACCCGGACAAGCCGGGCACGCTCCTCAAGCCCAAGCAGCAGGCCGTCAACAAGATCGGCCACTCCCTGCACAGCCTGTCCCCACCGTTCCGGGAGGTCAGCCTGACCCCCCGCAACGCCGCCATCGCCCGCTCCCTCGGCTTCCACGACCCCCGCGTCCTCCAGAGCATGGTCATCTGCAAGCAGCCCAGCATCGGCGGCGCCGTGCCCAGCCACCAGGACTCGACGTTCCTGTACACGGACCCGCCCTCCGCCGTCGGCTGGTGGTTCGCGCTGCAGGACGCCGGCGTCGAGAACGGCACGCTCGGCATGGTGCCCGGCTCGCATCGGCGGAATGGCATCGCGCGGCGGTTTGTGCGGCGCGTGCCCGACGGCAGTCGCGGGACGGAGTTTGTGGAGAATACCGGTGCCAGGGTGCCGAAGGGCTTGGTCGAGGACGAGACACAAGAGGAGGCGGAGGTGCAGTTGTTGGATATCAAGGCCGGCTCGTTGGTGCTCATCCATGGCAATGTCCTGCATCAGAGCTCGAGGAATACGAGTTCCCGGAGTCGCTTCGCGTATACGTTTCATGTCATTGAGGGGGCCGAGGGGTGGGTGTATGATGAGCGTAATTGGTTGCAGCCGCCGGAGAATGGGGAGGGGTTTACGCGGTTGTTTTAGGGATGCCATTGGGGTGGGCTGGGGATGGGGTTGTATATTCTTGACTACGGGGTGTGTGGATGGGCAGTTGTGACTGCTTTGATTGTATATGCAACGAAAACCAGCTTGTCAAATCTATGTCGATGGGGGTGTAGTTTGTAGACTTTCATGTCTATCTTTTGGTTTTGCTAGGTGTCCTCGATTTCGCTGACTACCTACGGGGTCACTGTGCAAACGGCAACATCTGATGCGTTCCACCCCGCTGGGAAATGCCACTTCCCCTATCAACATACCCTTACCGACGACGACACAAATAAATGAAAATGAAAACAATCGCGACCTGTGCCAATATCACCACGTCTATCCTCCTTTCTTTGTGATGTTTCACCTAGAATGAGTTCTGGTCCCGAAAGGCTTTGTTCGGCGGTTTCAGACCGTTCGTTCCCTGTTCTTTCAACGAGTTGAAAAGAATACAAAGCATGGCCGGACAACTCTCTCATTTGCAAGCGGACAATGATTCAACGCCAGTAAAATGTCGTCCACAAAGGGTGGAGGCTGCTGGTCTTTCACCGGTGATGAACTAAAGCAATGTAATTATAGATTCCCATCTGGGTGGGAAGTGGGCAGCTTATGAACGATGTACATAAAGCCTGACCGGTAACGTTCCTCTTCCTCAAGGAGGAACATATCGGCAGTTTTCTGAATCTAATCAAAAAGAAATCAATCCAGGACTGCAACTTACAGATTCATCGTCATATTCATCTTATCAGCACGTATCATGTGCTTTCCGAACAAGGCAGATTCTGGGCTTGGTTCCTCACAATCCAAGAAATCCCCACCTCCCCAAAATAAAGTAACAAAGTCCGCCCCGGCGAGAAAGTCCCGGCAGAAGTCCCGGGCAAGGACATTTCCTCGGGATTCACTGTCGCCGGAGATGGTTGCCGCTGCCCAAGCGAGAGCTAACACGAATTCTCCTGCCCAGGATCCACAATCAACAGAGTCTGCTGCTGCTCCTGAAGCAAAAGCAAGTACCGCTGGTGATCCACCGTTACCAAGTTCTGTTGCCGCTCCTCAAGCAACAGCAAGCACGAACTCCCCCGCTCGTGATCCACCATCACTAAAGTCTGTTGCCGCTCCTAGAGAAACAGTGAAAGCGAAACCCCTCGCGCGCGGACCGACAGGGGCAGACCCTCTTGCGAGTTTTGTGAGACCAGCAATTGCGGCTCCCCGCACTCATGTTCCACTGTCAGTGGCTCTGGCACAAGCAAGATCATATCCCCTCCCTGGCGGTCCCTTGTCGCCAGATTCGATTGCTAGACTGAAAGCGTACGCGAAACCCAAACCTCGCCCTCGTGATCCACTGGTGGCAGAGACCCTTGGGACTCTTGCAGCAGTAGCGAAAGCGACTCCCCCCACTCGTGATCCACTGTTGCTGGGGTCTGTTGCCGCTCCTAAAGCAGAAGCGAAAGCGAAATCCCCCCCTCCTCGTCCGTTGTCAGAAAAGTCGATTGCAACTCTGAAAGCAAAGACGCTCGGAAACATCTACTATGACCTCAACCGTGTTGGCAAGGTGCGCATTAACGTGCGGGAGGGCAGAAAAATCACCACCGACCGCAAGCGCTACTGGCATGAGTGCAAGAAGGCAACGAACTTCATCAGCAAGATGGTAAATCTGGTCGCAGGGTTGGATGATTCGTACCATTCCGCCGAAGGCTTAGCGCTCTCGGACGAGGTTGATGACCTGCTGCAGCGCATCGGTTGGGAAGGGTTCGCGATCGCTGCCTACTCGGAAGCCTTTCGGCGCCTCCTCTCCCTAGACCAAGAGGTCGACACCCAGCTGCGGCAAGGGGTACTTGAGGCCCTCACGGCCAACAAGAACAGTCTGGAGCTCTACGGCCGCGTGCGCAACATCGACTGGCGTGGCCTGCTGCTCCCGTACTCCAACGACAACATCCGCTACATGGGCCCGGCGCTGAAGCTCGTCAAGAAGTTCTGGGACCGCCATCCGCACGAGCTTGCGATCCCTCTTGACGGCGGAGACCATGTTGAAACCCCAAATTACGATAATCATCGTCAGCCCAATGTCACCAAGAACATCTGGGACCCCGCAGACTGGAAGGACCACGTCGACCCGGAGGACAATCCCGATATTAATGTCACCATGCGCTGGGCACATGTATATGATTTGGGATGTTGCGACTTCTGCGAATGCCCGCATGTCTGCCGGTGCCAGGTGCAGTCGATGCCCGGGGAGCTGGTGGAGCTCGTCAAGACGGCGGACCGGGGCATCGGGGTGCGCGCGCTGTGGCCCTTCCGCAAAGGGGACATTCTGGGCGAGTATATCGGGCGGCTCATCCCGGACGGCAGTAAGCCGGATCAGACCTATGCTCTTGCGTGGGAGGCGCCGAGTGACCCTCGTACCCGAGGCATAGTGTCCATAGACGCATACTACCAGGGCAACTGGACCCGGTTCGTCAATCATGCTTGCAAAAACGCGTCAGTCGAATACCGCTGCAGAACCTTTGGGGACCGCGCTGCCATGACGCTCGAGGCCACGCGGGATATCGCCATGTATGAAGAGCTTACTGTCAACTATGGGCCTAGGTACTGGAAAACGAGGCAATGCCGCTGCGGGTCGTCAAACTGTTATTCCGCAAATCAGGCTGAAGCACAACCGAAGAAGGGGAGAGCAAGAAAAACTGGGATGAGAGTTCCTCTCCAGGAAATCAAAGTAGGCGAAGAAGAACAGGAAGCTGTGAAGGAAAAGGACGTTGCGGAAGCAACACCAGCCGAACAAGGAAACGCAGGTGATGACGGTGAGTATATTGGGGGAGG